TCTTAAGCACTTTGAGTTCACGTTTAAGCACTTAAAAGCCATTAGATTGGAGAGTAAATTTCGTCAGATTTAATCTGATTCTTTGTAGATTTACTTAAGTGCTTAGCTTATCTGATTGATATAATCAAAACACATTTACAACATATAGAACTACTCAGCTCTGATGCAGATGAATGCAACTAATAACTAATCCAACAAATAGTTATTTTCTTTACATTCAGCTTCATCTAATGCTCAACTTGAACAAACTTTATTAAACTGAAGTTCATTTGTGATTGAAGCAAAGTCACTTTTACTCCGTTTAGCTTGTTTGTCAAATTCTTTGGAGAAATAAAATAAACTACACACGCACACACACACACATACACATACACCCACAGACGAGCATCAAATAGTTTCTATTCGCTGTTGCATGCGATGCATGTCAAAAATTTCGCGACAAGCTGTCGAAACTTTAAGTCAATCAAGAAAAACAATTTTTTGAAAAGTGTGCAGCCAACAAATCCAATGCCGAAAACTTCAGCAGATTTCTTCCCAAAAAAAAAGAAAAAACCCCGAATTTATATTTGACAAGTATATTGTGTGGAAGTGAGGGCGGGCCAGAGCTGTGGGCGTGGGCTGTTGAGTGTGCACTGTTCGCTTGTTTAACTTAAATTGCTTTGCTGCTGCTCCAGCTCCTGCTGCATTGCCGAAACAAAAGGCCAACAACTGCAACAACTTTTGCTCGATGCGCTTCCGTTTCCGTTTAGCCACCCCTTGCAACGCCACGCCCCCGTTCGGTCGTTGCAACGCCAAACTTTGGCATTGTTGTCTTTGCCATTGCCTGTGGCATTCACTTTCATTCCAGCTAGCTCCACCTGCTCCTGCTGCTGGCTTCATACTACTTCTCCCCCAGCTAAGTTCAGCTCAGTCTCACCTCAGTTTCACCTGGCGACGAAACACTTCCGCTGACTTCCGTTCGCGCACAAAGTTTAAGCATGAAACGCAGTTTTCTCCCCACCCACTTTTCTTCGTCTTCCCTTTTTTTTTTTTTTTTTGTCAAAAATTGTATTTTAAGCTTCCATTTTTGGATTTACCCCAAAGGAATAGCATACGTTTTTGATTGAGCAATTAGGGAATGCACAAGAAAAGCTAAGCACACAGGTAACGGGGGAGGGGGCGTGGCGGCGATGGAGGACGCTTTTTGGCATTTGGAAATTTGAAATTTAATTTTAAGTGTCAGAAGCAAAGTGTACACTTTTCATAATTTGAGTGCTGTGCGGAAAAGGGAATTCAATTCGTGTTTGGGGTTTTGAGTTCGGGGTTTTACGACAGCGGAGGGGGTGGGCGTTTGGATGGATAGGTGATGGAAGCGGGGCTTCTGACAACTGTGTACGGGGCGTTGCCTGACCGAGCATTGGACAACAGTCGAAACCACAGTCATGATTAGTGGTCAAATGACTTTTGAGCGTGGCCATCGTCCATGGTCGCCGTTGAATTTGTTTAGGCATCCCAGCCGACGCCCCCTCCTGCTGCTTGGAGCCCCTCTCTTATGCAGCTGCGGTACTTAATGCTCGGCAATTGCTTTTCAGCGCACCCAATTCAGTTTTATGGCCTGTGCCTGCGCCTGACAGTGCCAGACAGAGAGAGAGACAGACAGAGAGGGAGTGAGAGGGAGAGTGAGTGCATCGATTTGCATTTTCATAATTTTTAGCTAGCAGAGGATATATTTATGAGGCTTAATAGGAGTTAGGCCAAAATTTTGTTTATCTGTGAAGCTTGTGGAATTTTAAATGATTTTGAGGGAGATTTCACCAAAAACGTTTTGGAATATTTTTCGTCCATTAAATAAATTTAGAATTTTAACTAAACAATTTCGTGAAATTTAGGGAATCTATTCAAAATATGTCAACAAATAAATAAATGATAATTATAATTCTTATTTGAAAGAGATTCGTGCTTAAAAATAAGAATTCATTATTTTATTAAATTAAATTAATGTATTGAATTAATAATAATTTTTTTATTTTAAAATAAATTTAAATATTTCCAAAGAAGAATTTTACATATTATTTGATTTGTATAAACTAAAAAAGAAAAGATTAAAGCTGATTTAAATGTAATTAGATGACTAAAAAACATGACACGTGAATCAAAGTGGAAATGCAAACAAGGCAATATAAAGTGAAAAAAAAAAACTTCAAGAGCAGAGCTCACGTAATGCCGGCTATCAAGTACTTGAAGGAGCCTGAAAGTCACTGGAGAAATGAATCTTTTAATTACCAAAATAGAGAAAAAATCCCTTAGGAAAAATCTGAAAATTTTTAATAAAATATATATTGAAATATTTTTCAATATTTTTACTTCAAAAATTGAATTTATTTATAGATATATTCATATACATATATTATATAATAAATCTATATAACAAATCTTTAAATCTAACTAACAAAAATACAAAATTCCATCAATGAAATCTAAAAACAAAACAGACACACTTTAAATTAAATTATTCGCTTTAAAAGGTCTTGAATGCAATTTTCCTTTTAGCTGTTAATTCAATGACAGCAAAAGAATGCAGTTCAGTTTAAATCGAAGCAGCAATTGGCATTAAAGGGCGAGCGTTTAATTACAAGTGCCAATCGACGTTCGACGAGCTTCGCGAACTAAACCGCAGCCGTTAAAGAAAAATTAAAAAGAAAAAAAAAAAGTTGCGGAACGAACAGAAGAACAGAATATAAAAACAATGCAAAAGAAATGCAAACATGTGCAATTCTCACTCTTAACTTTAATTGCGAATGTGCCTGTGTGTAAGTGTGTGTAAGTATCTGTGTGAGTGTGTGTAAGGATGTGCACGTATGGATGTGTGGAATGGAAGCACAGCTAAAAGCAGAGACAACAACACGCATGCCCATTATATTAGATTTAATTTCAAAATACCAAAAACAAAATCACAAAGAAGCTAGCAACAAGCTGGGGAAAAAAACAACGTTGAAAGACATAAAAAGTCAGAACATAGGAAAAGCGCAAAGAAAATGGAGTCACGTTTGCACTGCAAGGCAATCGCACTCTAGGGAGCAAAGCGAAGGAACACACACACGCACACATACTAAAGTCTTTTCATGCAGCAGAATATTTGAAATTGCGCGCCTACTTAAGCTATGCAACACTGGCAACATTTAGTGGCAACGCTGCTCGCGTGCCTCAACTATCGTTAAGACTATCGCATGCGCAGTGCACGAAGATTGTGTGAGAACTCGTTCGGAACTAGTTAATTGAAGCGGCAATTTTAAACATATTTAAAATTATATATGTGAATACAGTATAATTACTATAAATAAATAGTATGAATTATTTTCATTCAGTTTAGCATATTGATTAAATAAGTGAGCTACTCAATGAAATGTATATATAGTAATATTCAATGAATATATTCACCCTTTCTTGCAGCTGAATTTTAACTAGTCTCAAATTTCGCAAATCTGCAAAATTACACATTTAGCTAAATTGAATGTGTTGCTTGGTTATATAAAGCGATTATAAAACCCGCCTTCCGCTTGCCATGAACACGCAAATCTCATATAAACATATTGTAATTAAAACTGTCAAAGTTCATGGCGAAGGTTAAAGTGCATGCAATTTTAATTAAGCTTTAATTGTCGTTAGAAAAGGGAGCTCCGAGCTAACTGCGCACACACAAGATGGTAAGAGAAAAGCCATTAGCAGTGGACGAAAATAAGTGAAAGTCGAGGAAATATGAATACGCTTTATGCTAGAAAGAAATTAATTTATTCAATTACTAATATTTTTTGGTTTATTATTCATAAAAATATTTGAATTATTTATTTTATATTACTTTTTATTTCTCATATGTTATTTATCCATTCATTTTGTAACATGCTTATGCATGCTCAATTGAACCTATACATCGTTTGTATGGCAACTGTTATTAAATTACAGTTAGTCGACTAACGCTGCCAGCAAATGCGCAACACTAACCAACACAAACAGCGAGACATAATAAATACTGCAATGTCCAGCGAACATGCGACCCTTTGGCGAAGCAAAGAAGAACGAAAAAATGGGCAGGTGAAAAATGCACTTTGGATTTTGCATTTGCAATGCAAAACAAGTCGGTTGCGACATCGGCTTCGCATACGCCCTAAACGCCACAAATAAAAACTAATGATTTTCACATTATACCGAAAGTCGGGAAAAGTCGGAAAACTTGCACGCAATCAAACGCAGTCAGAGGCGAACATTTGCCTCGATTGTTTGATTGCATGCAACATTTAGAATTCAAATAGTCGCCAATTAATTGAATGCGCTTACCAAAGTGAGCAAGAAGGACGAATTGATTGGCATTGTTTCTCTTTCCAGGGTATTTTCCAGTCGATAAGCTGCTTGGCTTAGCTGTTTTTGCACAAATTTGTTAAACATGTTGTCTGGCGCGAATATGATGAGCTGTAATGGCTCCCACAAGGCACGAGGCGAATAACACAATTCACTATTATATTTCACTGTAATTTATTAATTTTATCACTTCAAAAAAAAAGAAAAAAATAAATCAAATATCTTGAAAATCCACGCGTCACTTCGGTACTCGCGAAACATAACTGTAAGTTTCCTAAACAATATATGCAGCTCAATAAGCGAGATTGAACTGGTGAGCGATGCATTTAGGTATGCAGCATTCTAAAATGTATTCATAATATAAATTAAATTATAGATAAATTATGATAATTATGCCATTTTTATTTGATAAATAAGCTCTACATATATAAAATATCTCAAGGCAACATAACATTTAATTTACGCGGGCTTTCTTTCGCTCATCTGTTGCTATTTATGCTCACAGACGTGCGTGAGCAGCATACTAGTTTATATACATGCAAAACATATGACAGATAATGCTGCCACCCTGTCAAACCGGCATGAAGCGCAAAATATGTGCCCACGTTTTGTAAACAATAATAAAGATTATGCTTAGCTGGCAGCACTGTCAGGGCGATTGCGTTATTTATTTGACAAAAATGTGAATAAAAGCAAGTTGGCTTTAAAATTTAAAACCTTTTAAATTAATACATCAAAAAGCAATTGACTTTCGTGGCACGCATGGCCAGTGTGTGATTCGCTAACGACCGTAAAAAAGGCCACGAAGAATTTACAGCGAAACGATATAAAAGTTATTTGAACGTCAGCGCCAGGGCTCAGTTTTACATGAGCAGCGGGCAGAGCAACGCGCGAGGACGAGCTGCAATAGCAGCAGCTGCAGTTGGCAATTGTGGTCGAAGACATTCTTGCCGTGACTGCGGCGCATTAAATCAACGTGTGAAACACAAACCGGAAGTGCAAGCCCGACCCAGGCACCGCCCTCTACCCTGACCCCGACCCTTGCGGCGACCCTGATCCTGAACCTAGACCTGTGCCCGATCCTGTGCAACTGGTGGTCGCGTCATGTCTGTCGCCGTCTATGCCTGGGTAAGTGTGTGTGCGTCAGTATGTGTGTTGGTGTCATTTGCATTGCAAATTAATGAGTGATTTCCTCTTTCGGCTTTGCTGCGCACAGGGCGCCAATTCTCACGGTCAGCTCGGCCTTGGCTACGAATCGGAGCTCTGCATGACACCACAACGCCTATCAAAATGCTCATTTGTGCCTCAGCTGGTGCGCTGCATACGCGGCGGCGGTGGTCATGTCCTAATCCTCGATAGCAATGGACGTCTGCACGCCTGCGGCTGGAATAATCGCGGCCAATTGGGCCTGAACTCAGACGACGAGTGCCATAGCGAGTTCTCCATGGTGCCCACGGAATTCTTTGAGGTATACTTCACTATATATATGCTGGGTCTCTCCTATACTATCTAAATTAAAAAATTCTCCCTTCAGGAAGTACCTGTGGAGTTCGTCAGCTGCGGCTGGGATATATCGGGCGCTATTACTTTGACTAAACGCCTCTATGTCTGGGGCTCGAATGCGTTTCAGCAGCTCGGGATTTGCCAGCGCGGCTTTATGGCTGTGCGTAGGCCAATGCCCGTGCGTCTGCCGCGCGAGGAGGCGGCACAAAGGTTTAGCTTCGGTCTGCGCTTCTGTGCGGTGCTCACCCAGGATCAAAAAATCTATATATTTGGACGTTTGCGCATTATGGATCCGCCTCCCATTGAACTGGACATTACTGCGACATCTCTGCATCGCTGCAATGTGATGAAGATCCAAGTGCACAATCCCAATGAGCTGCGGATTGTTTCCCTAGTCAGTGGCCAGAATCACATGCTGGTCAAGTGCGTGAATTTGGAAGCGGGTGGCAGCAGACGTATCATCGCCCTGGGAGACAACAAGTTCGGCCAATCGAATGCCTTTCAGTTCGAGGAGGATGTGCGCCAGCTTGCCGTCGGCTGGACGCACAATGCAGCCCTGTTGAAGTCCAATAGCATTTTGCTCTGGGGTCGCAACTGCTATGGCCAGCTGGGCACGGGTGAGTTCTGCGAGCAGCGAGCGACGCCAACGCCATTGCAGCTGCGCTTGGAGGAGGGAACGACGCCGGCACGCCTACACATGGGCGCGGAACATGGACTGCTGCGCACCACAGCTGGCGAGATCTATACCTGGGGCTGGAATGAGCACGGCAATTGTGGAAATAATGCTACGGAAAATATGTAAGATGAGGATGAAGATATAAATGCAGTAGAATCCGGTTATAACGACTCCGCTTAAAGCGTGCAACCGGTTATGTCGACGAAAATTCGATGTCTTGGTTGGTCTTCATACAAACTTATATAAAAGAATCCTTCTGGTTAAAGCGTCCGCCGGGAATAGCGACGTAAAATCGTCGATCCCTTGAGTGTCGCTATTACCGGATTCTACTTTATATTGTAATTCGACATTTTTTGTATTATCCTATTCTTTCGACCTCTAACATTTCTCCACTCTACTTTCAGCTGTACTCCAACTTTATTGAAGCTGCCGGGCTACGCAAAGCTGGCTGGATCGGGCGCTGGATTTTGTTATGCGATTGTAGAAGAAGCTGATGGAGAAACTGCAACAACTTCTTGAAAACGCTTACGCTAGACTAAGCTTGAATCTATTTT